TGTCGAAAACGTCTCACTCAGAGGTGTCACGTCTCCTTAAAAAACTCACAAACTCACTATTTTATATATTTATTAACCAAACTTAAGCGCTCAAATCGAATTGTTACTCACCGCCGAACAACACATGTGCTAGCCCGCGCACAGGCTGTCAACCCTCGTGACCCCAAAACCAATTATCCAATAATAACATGAAGTTTTCTACAAGATAACCAAAGCTAAAGTTTATGTAAATGAACATGATTTTTTATCACGTATGAAACCACCGACATGGCAGCGATTTCTTTTGTTTTTTCCTGATGAATTATTAATGTTTTCACAATTATCAATAACAATATTAAACATACCTATACTGTTTAGCGCCAAACTTAACTCGAACGCGAAGTTGCTTAATGGCACTTCGTCAGAAGCCTGGACAATAGCTATCGTTCCTAAATTCGTTCCCACTTCACTCGCTTCTCCTGAATGCTCTAGGACAAGAAAGATGCGATTAAAGTTCTGGCACTCAGGAGATACCTCTCATTCGCACGTTAAAGAAGTGCTTCTAGTTTGACCATGATGGCCTATCGAAGGGAAGATGGCTGTGAAACTCATTAGAATAACAATATAACTCATTATCTATGTTAGTCAATGTTTATTCATAAATCTGGTCCTTCACCGTCATGTGCGTATTGTATATTTTGCCCAACTAACGAATAGCAATGCTATCTATCCGTGACTCGAACAATAGGATAAATTGGAAATTGCTATTGGTGGATTTGGCAAAAATACAATACACACATGACGGTGAAAGATTTATGAATAAACATTGACTAACATAGATAATGAGTTATATTGTTATTCTAATGAGTTTCACAGCCATCTTCGATAGGCTATGGTTTGACTCAACCAAGTATTAAAGGTTTTCTTACGGCATTCTAATTTGAGAGGTTTCCTTTTTGAAAGGTTTTCTTACGGCATTCTCATATATAGAATTGAAAGAACTCAAGTGATTGGTGGCAGGGTATGTCCAATATAATATGGTTTAGTTTAGGTTTTCTCTCATAATAACATTGACAAAGCAATAACAGATGCCTTTAATTAAAACCTCCATGGGAAACAGCTTAGAACTGGTAGGGCTATCCAGAATAAATAAAGGCAGTAAAATTTCGATATTAAGTTTATATAAAGCAACCAACCTAACTGCATAGCTTTCATGGGACTAAGAATACTCTCCCCCAATAAATGAATAAGTCGGCTGACGACCTAAAACACAGTGACACAGGCTTCAAGACATTTTCAGAACAATTTAAAGAGAAGAATTAAATGTTAATATATTAATAGAATTATTAACTAATTTATTTTATATCTTCAAAATGAACAAAAGTAACTTTTATCAAAGTCTGTATTTTTTGCTAATTTCGGTATTTCATACACACCTGAGGGTATTTATGCTTTATAACGTTCAATAATCCGTCAGGAAGAATGGCCACTTCCGTATCACTGTATAAAAAAAATAAAAATAAAATCTCAATAAAGCCGTACGCCTTCTATACCTCTGTTGTATGTCGTAAGGATTCGTAAGATATTACTGTAATATAAAGCTTTTTAAAGTCATGTTCCATTCTCTCAATCGGATGGGGTCGTGGGGTTTTGTTTAGCGATGTTTCTGTCTAGCAAAACCTATGGTGGAATTCTTTATTCGCTAATTGGCTAATATTTATCCACAGAAGTCCAAATGCATGTTGTCTAGCAAAGCCTATAGTGAAACACGCCCTAAGCCGGACCGTGATACCAATGAATCTTACCGCACAGCATGAACGGTAGCCATTCGTGGATTTTGCGTCAACGCTTCTACCTAAAAAATACCAATGTTCGTACGGTCATCTTATATCTTTCCTACTAATCGCAAAGACCAACTCACTGAGAATGCGTTTATAGCTATCAAACAGTCGAGCATTGCGCTTGGATGAAAGTACTAGCAACAAGCTTGCGAGCTGGTTTTTGTGATGAAAAGAGCCTTATATTGCATGTTTTAGAATACGCATCAATTTCCATAAATTATAACAATTTTAACTGGTGAGAACTGTTTCATTTTGATTTTTTTAAGGATGCATGCCTATAACCTATATTTGACTAGGGAAGCTGATTTTCCCATGCACACCCTCGTATGATTTCCAGGAAATTTCCCCTACTGTACCGTCAGTATACGTACATACTTACCACGCCAACCAATTCCCCTCGGCCATGTTCACCGACCAGTTCTTTTTTCTTATTTTGAGTGACAACAGATCTCAGACGACCATTGAGAACAATATATAGACAATCTGACTCGTCGCCTTGTCTGGGAAAACAGTAAAATAGCTATATATATATGAGAGAGTGCTCTAATGCATGCAGAGACACTATAACTATATAGGTTTATATTCCAAAGACGTCACAGTATCCTGTTCTTGGGACTGTGAAGGGGTTTGGTTTACAATGCATGGTTTATGCATGTGTCTACCCAGTATAAATAATTTAGTTCAAGTTTCTTCCTGTAGTAACACTGGATTAATAAGAGATGATCCTTACTGGACCTCTAGGGAGAACAGTTTAGAACTGATAGAGCTATCCAGAATAAATGAAGTTAGTTTAGTTTAGGTTTCCTCCGGTAGTAACACTGGATATGACTCCTATACTGGACCTCTAGGAAAAACAGTTTAGAACTGAAAGAGCTATCAGTATAAATAAAGTTAGTTCAGTTTAACTTTCTTGTAACACTGGATCAGTAAGAGATGACTCCTACCAGTAAGAGATGACTTCTAAGAGAAGATCCTCACTGGACCTCCATGGAGAACAGTTTAGAACTGATAGTTAATATAGCTATAAACACAGTATTTTCACAAAATTCTGTCCAACAGCATACCTGTATATAGCTCGTCCAGCTTCCATGTGAACCCAGTCAAGAGCGTAGTCAATATTTCTGACCAGCGGTGTCAATCGTGACGTCAGCGTACTGCTGAGATTTAGAATAACACGTGGTCTTTGTAGAAGAATACTAAAATGAACACGAAAGCTTGAGAATGCATGTGTATCAAAGGGAAAACTATTCTCCACTCAAATGATGTAGTGACATCACACAAAAGATTCGTCGGAGAAGTTTGGGTTAGGGTTAGGCAGGCCTTTTATCCAGGATCCTGAAAAAGGGCGTCCAATTTTGGTACAATGACCCATCTACGTCGGGGGGGGGGGGATTTTTCAAACACTTTGTGAGCTTTGTGCCGCTATGCTTCTTTACGACATTTTTATCATCAAATTGATCAAAACGTCACACCATCAAATTGATCAAAACGTCAAATGTATAATAATATTGAAAACTGAAGCTATTTCGTTTCAGATATGTTAATATATTTAGGGAAATCATTGAGAATCATTTCACTTTCCTCCCCGGAATTTGGGCGTCCAAAGTCGTCCATTTTTCGTTGTAGGGCGTCCCACTTGTGGCTGGAAGCTTGGGCTTAGGGATGGGTCTGGGTTAGATTCAGAGACTCGGAGTGCTTTCATCACATCAAATGAGCACAGAATAAGCTCTTCCATGTATCAACCTTTGAGAAAAAACAATAGACAGTTGTCTGCAGTCATAAATTACACAATCGTACCCGTAGATATCACTTTTGCTCAAGACACCAAGTTGACAAAACTTGACAGCCTTGATTGTAAACAGTGATGGTTCGCCAGTTATGACGGAGAGACTGCCCACGAATTCCCCAGGATGAGTGACGTACAACACGTTCTAAATGGGATATATGTCATCAGTTTCTAAAGGTTATATAGTTGCTTGAAAACAGTTCACATGGCTTGTCATGCCCACTGTAATTGGCGTTAAGCTGTTATGGTGTCCCAGCTTCTTTAAGGGGTAGCCTCGCAGTAGCTCGGAAGAGTGATTTTCATTGGCCCGACTTGACAATTGCTTTTGTGTTCAGAACAATGAATTGCTTCGTTCTTTAGAAAACCCCCCATCCAATTGGAGACGACCTTCCGAGGCACTGCGAGGCTTCCCTCTTTAAGGTGGCTCCCTACAGTTATTCTTGTTTAAGCAACAATTCCGTAAAACAGGCTTATTCGTGCAGAACGCGAATTCTTTTCGACTTGGTGGTAATATTGGTCACCTAAGGAATATTTCGAACTAGATTTCGACGATGTCAATGTTCCCATGGCAACATGACGACAGCATAAAGCATTCCAATTTAACCCATAAATGTGCCGCTATCTCAAAAACGATGTCGGTGACCTATCTTTTTTATTTCATATACCAATAAGGAATGATGCTCTGCAACTGTGGTGAAAGTTTAAAAAAATTCTGTAGTGTGTGATTTTTTTAAAAGCGAAAAATTTATTGCGAAATTTCCACACTACAGATTTTTTTTAAATTTGAAATTTATAAAATTTACCGCAAAATAAATTCGTGGTTAAAATTTGAAGATAGGTCACCGACGAAACTAATGAGTAAAATGCAAATAAAGTTAGAAAATAGCCTCGTGTAACTCGAGAAATTCCCCTATTGAAAAGCGTCGCTGACTAGTAAAAGATTGTACGTGGGCGCAGAACGAGTTTTCATTCAGCAAAATCGAGCCGCAATGTTCGTGTTTTTACTTTTTACTGTTTTGTTTTTGTCAACTTTTCGATTTATTTGAGTGCTATGGACAGCCAAGGATTATTGTGAAGGATTAAATCGATGAAAACAAGGTTGAAGCTAATTGAATCCTGCCGTTTACTCAATCTATGAGCTGTAACAGCCTATTAACAGGTGGACGTGTTTTTTTGTTTCATGTTTGGTTTTGTACTTTTTCCTAAAAATGAACAATTAGGCTATGAAACTGAAATATTTTTCTGTTTACATATAATCACTTCAATCTTGTAGAAACACGACTAAAAACGTGAACGTTTTCTTGAGAAGTAAACAACTTTTTAAACGTTTGTATGCAATTTTGCAAATGTTTTACAGTTGACAATGTATATTTTAAAAACATTAAAAAACATTGTTTCGTAGCTATTTTTGGTCTAGTGGTATTCGTATCATATGTAGAATTGCTGTATAGACTCGCAAGTAATTTGGCACTCAAAACGAAGTATTATTCAACGATTTTTCCCATTAGAAACCTTTCAGAAATAGCTTTTTTTAAAAAAAAATATTTTGTTTTGTTTTGATCATGCGGTTGCGTGGGATAGTTCACGTACTGGTCCCGCGAACATCCCGCACGCAACTGTAGGGAGCCTCCTTAAGGCAATTGTTGTATGATGTTTGGAAGCGAAGCACAATAAACAAACGCTTATTTACAGAAGACAACGTTAAATCTCAACGAAAGTTGACAAGTACTGCAATTTATTGTAGTACGCTTTCTCCACATCAAAGAAAATTTTAACTTGTAAACACACGTAAAACTGTTGCAACAACTCGTTTTAGGATGTGTTAGCAACGCTTGTACCCATCTTGTTGACAAGTTTGTCAACAGTTTGTTGACAACTTGCTACACGGCTAAAAACCCGCACAGGTTGTTCCAAGTTGATATCGACAGGCGTGAACAATGTTGCGCGGCCAACTATGAACAAGTTGTCAACCATGTTGTTACAGTTGAACAATGCTGTAACAGTTGTCAACCAAGTTGTTACAGTTGAACAATGCTGTAACAACATGTTGACAATACTGTTCATAGTGGGCCGCACAACCTTGTTCACGCCTGTTGATATCAACCAGGAACAAGTCGTTGATTTTCTCAATTTTTACGCGTGTATAAGGTTGTCGACTCAAAAGATTTGTCACAAGTTGTTCCAACATGTTATCGTCCTTCAATTCAATAATTTGTTAACAAGTTGTGAGTGACAACATTGTAGCAACTTGATGAAATGACAACTATTGTTATAAGCTTGCTGCAAGCCTGTTGACAAGTTGTGAGTTTGGTCGATGAAAACCGTGTTATCTTAACATACTATATATACCTCTTCGCTAGAATCCATGTCTTTCTGAGAGACTTGCAGGCAGCCACTGATAAGGAAATAGACGCTACAATCCTGAAACATTATTGAAATATTTCACACTTTGGCAGAAATTTTTAACTTCTAGTAGAAAAACCTACAATGATGGTTAAAATTCCTTGGATACTTAGCTGCAAACCAAAGTATTACTGTTCGTGTATACATGTTGGCATCTTTGTACCTTCAATACCGTAATTTATAGTTGGTATGTCATGTGTCTGAGATGTCTTGGCATCAAACATGACTGGACTGATGCCACAAAGAAACGTTGGAGTCGATTGTTTATATATTCATTTTTGCCAATTGGCTTCTTTTTCTACTTCTTGGTCTAAACATGCTTTTCAGAAACCTGTACTTTATGAACCTTATATTTTAATGACTAAATACACATTAAGTACTAAGTTTGTACTATAGCTCAAGGACGCGACAACAACCAAGTCAAGCACGACTTAAAATCTTACATTATCGCAGCCTGCCGTAGTTATTTCTATTTTTGATGAGTAATTTTTATTCCCCAATTTGTAAACACATCGCAATTCACCTTCTGGGGCCGGTTGTTCAAAGGTGGGTTAGCGCTAACCCTGCATGCATGGTTAAAATTTAACCTGCTGTTATAGTTTGTGTATTTCTGCACGCCTGTTTATTTCAAAACTTCAGAGAAGAAAACATCAACTGATTCAAGCAAGATTTCTGAAGAAATATTTCCAATTTTATAAACAAGCTGTTGGAAGTTTGCTTTGAATTTTAGGTTAACCTAGGGTTAAGCTGACGCAGCTTTGAACAACTGACCTCTGGTGCGAAAATATATCAATAAACCATCAATTATTATTATAATCAATCCATTCTTACCACTTCGCCTTGTGTAACGAGAAGCGTTCCTTTTGGTATCACAGCAGAACACAATACATCGTCAAGTAAACTTTCGTCTTTTTCCTATGGTCATAGAAAATTACAAAGTCGACAATATAAAAGGTCTTACGCATATATTCTAAAAGCTCACTCAAGCCTGGTTCACATTGATCGGCGATGTTCTACGATCCATTGTCTGTGAGCAACGAAGAAGAAAATGCACAAAACATTTTATGCATCAATGACCACCGACAATGGGCATCGCCGATGTGTACGATCAATGTGAACCAGGCTTTACACACACACTCAATGAGTGGAAGTTCAATCTGAGCTTTTCTCGAGTGTCAGTTGCTGTTTTTGAATAGCTGGAAGGCTAGTGTCGTCCCTTACTATGTAACTACTCACCCTCCAGCTATTCAAAAACAGCATTGACACTGAAGAGAAGCTCAGATTGAACCTCCTCTCATTGAGTGTGAGTGAGCTTTTAGAATACGGGCGTTAAACTCCTTCATGTCATTAATATTTCATGAAAAAAAAAACACAAAAGAAATCACGACCACGAAGTTCATGGTCATGATTTCTTTTGTGTTTTCTTCATGAAATATTAATGAGTTTCACAACTACATGTATACAATTTACACTTAAAATGTAAGTGAAACTTTACTTCGTTCAAATTAAACAAACTCTGGTTCTGCATGCCCCGACACGCACGTAATATATCATCGAGGCTCACCAAGTGTGTAACCTAGGTCGCTTGTCACTAATTTTGCAGCTGCTTTGTCGCTTGTTTTATTGTAATAAATGTCGCTGTCACTTTTAACCCATAACACAAATCGCAATTTGTCACTTTTTCCCAGTCAGAAGCTGTCATCTGTCGCTGTTTTTCCGATAATCTGTCGCCTCTTTTTAGGAATGTCTCTTGTCTGTCATACCCCCTTGAGAAAAGAAATAAAGAAACACGTATCGTATTACCACATAGCTTGATATCCGCGACAGACTTCTCGTAAACGAAAGAAAATTTGCTCTTTCCAACACCTGTAGCACTATAGCAACAACTATAGTTTACCTTGAGCGGGAAAATGAAGATGAATTTGCTTATTTTCCTTCTCTTTAATCTGATATACGTAGCAAGAGGAAATAGCAAGCCAAATATTTTGTTCATATTTGCTGATGACTATGGCTTCAACGATGTTGGCTACCATGGTTCTGAGATAAAAACACCAGTCTTGGACAAACTAGCAAATGAAGGTGTTATCCTCGAGAACTATTATGTCCAACCAATATGTACTCCGACAAGATCAACAATGCTTACTGGTCGATATCAAATTCATACAGGTTTACAACATGGCGTTATATTCGCTGCGCAACCAAATTCCATACCTCTTGACGAAACCACAATCGCAGAAAAATTAAGTGAAAGCGGTTACAAAACTCATATGGTTGGGAAATGGCACAGTGGATATTATAAAAAAGAGTGCATGCCAACCTACAGAGGATTTGACTCTTTTTTTGGATTACTCAACGGAGTTGGGGATCATTATACACATATGCTAAGCAGAGGTGGGTGGAGCGGTTATGATCTGCGCAGAAATGAAACTGTAAGCACAAAGGAAAAAGGACAGTATTCGACGTTTATATTTGCAAAAGAAGCTCAGGAAGTTATCACGAATCATGATTCCAGTTCCCCATTGTTTTTATATTTAGCATTTCAAGCAGTGCATACTCCCTTGCAAGTGCCCGAACAATATATCCAGCAGTATGAGGGAGTGATAAAAGATAAGAAAAGACGTACTTATGCCGGTATGGTGTCTGCTATGGACGAAGCCATAGGAAATGTAACCAAAACACTCCAAGAAAAAGGACTTTGGGATAACACTGTGTTGATATTTAGCACTGATAATGGTGGTCGTGTGTATGACGGGCAAAATAACTGGCCATTGAGGGGTTGGAAAGGATCATTGTGGGAAGGTGGTATACGTGGTGTAGGATTTGTGAACAGCCCTTTGTTAACAAAGCCAAGAAGAGTTTCGCATGAAATGATCCATGTTTCTGATTGGTTTCCGACTCTGGTGAAGTTAGCTGGTGGTAATTTGAAAGGTACAAAACCTTTAGATGGTTTTAATGTTTGGGAAACAATAAACACAGGTGAACCATCTCCTAGAACTGAACTATTGCACAACATCGATCCAGTACAGACACCATGGTATGGTAAACCGGGAAGTGGTGGTTATCAATGGTGTCCACAGGCCGCATTACGTGTTGGGGACTGGAAACTACTCACAGGATGTCCGGGAGATTCACGTTGGAATCCACTTCCGAACTCAAGCCTCAACTTGAATGAAGAAAATTATTTGAACAATGACACCAAAAAGTTGTTTTTGTTTAATATTGCCCAGGATCCTGAAGAACGACATGAACTATCTTCTCAATATCCAGAGAAAGTGAAGGAATTATTGTTGCGACTTGAAGAATACAATAGTACTGCAGTGCCTGTACGATTTCCTAACCCTGATCCTGCTGCTAATCCTGCGCTGCATGGTGGGGTATGGTCACCATGGGTCACCTCAGAACATAGTGGTGTACTGCATAGTAATTATGCATGCATGGTTGCAATGTACTGCATACTAATTATACATGTATGGTTGCAATAAATAAAGTTGACCAAAGATCGATTCGAACTTGCTATCTTACGCGTGAATTTAGAAAACTAATTAAAGTGTTTTATGCGATTTAAATATTACAATTATGAAAACTATTATGTACTATTTAAAACAAGAGTAGGAGTGTCTTATCAGATATAACATAAAAAACGATTCATCTTATATGAGTTCATTGGCGAAGTAATTTTTAAAATAAACTTTGTCTAAACCGAGAAAATCAAAGCTAAAGTTTATGTAAATTAACATGATTTTTTATCACATATAAAGATACGACAAGTTTATGATTTTTCTTTGTGTTTTCCTCCTGAATTATTAATGAGTTTTTAAGTATAAAAATCTTTATATAAAAATCTTTATATAGTTTGCATAACAATGGCCTTTTGTTAAAGTGTTCTTTAGCTGGTATAAAGACGTATGCACGTGACTAATTTCTTACTCAAGATTGGATAATTTTTGAATGATATAATTAAATGGTTCCTTGAGTAGTTAAGATACAACTGTGTCATGCATGTAAATATGCTATCATTATAGAAACAGCGGTCAGAATGAATAAAATAGCAATAGCAATTTATTTAATGTCTATTATACTGGATGTGGTTGCTCAGTTACCCACAGTTAGTAGAATAGGTTCCATAGATATCTTATATACACTAGATAGCGCATCTCCTTAAGTAAAATTGAAGCCAAGAATATTCCAGCGGTTACCGCCATTTGAATAGATGGCGGCCATGTTGGAGTTTCCCACTCGCTAATAAACGCTTAAAAAACAACAATAACTTTCATCATTTGAACAGTTTGAAAATGTATTTGGAATAGGTTTAACTTTAATAATGTTTAAGTTCCCTGTTTAAGAAATAGAAAACATACGACTCTTCTCATTTCATGGGAATATCCTGAGTCTGCAATCACGGCTTCAATTTTTGAATTGCAGAATAATTAGATGCACTATCTAGTGTATATAAGATATCTATGATAAACGTACTCAAGAACAAAGGGCTAAGGGCGCTTTCCATTAACTCGGCTAAACCGGACAGATTGTTGAATGGAACACAAAACGTTTGGGCTTCGGACCTGGATGAAAATAGAAGGAGGCCCATTTTCGCTAGTCTCCCTCCCAGCCGCTCTTTGTGTCGAGGTTTCTCCCCACGAGCGGTTGCTCACTCGAGCACAACATTTCATTCCCTTTGGCTTTGTCTTACGTTAACCAATCAGATTTAGCGACATAAATATCTTAATAAGTCCAAGGAAAGGAATGTTGTGCTCGAGTTAGCAGCCGCTCGTGAGGACAAACCTCGACACAAAGAGCGGCTGCGAGGGAGACTACATTTTCGCTAGATCACAAAATTTTAAGGTTACAGAACACCTTTGAGTGTTAATTTTGCCTAATTTTTTTTATTGGTTTTCATGAAAGCATTAGACTAGTCGTACTATCTGCAAAAGTTTGAATGAAAAATGTTGAAAACTCGCAGAGTTATTTAACAAAATACATTTTGCTGCAATAAGAAAAACATTGAAAATGCAATATTCAAATTCAATTTTCTTCCGAAACATTTTACGGCAATTACTGATTTTCAAACGAGTTGTTCTCCTGTGGGTTTTAACGAATTTTTCTCAAATTTTCACAGGACATAGCTAAAGACGTCAGTTTCAAAATTGTGTTCGGCTTTGTTCTAATTTTGGATATTTTAATAATGAGCAATTCACTCAAACGATTCAGAAATATATTGCAGTCGTCAAAGAAATCGCCATATCAGCGGAATGACGAAATAAACAAAAATTTCCGAACAAAATTTTTTAGAACAACTATTTTACTGTATAAAAATGATATTTTCATAAATATAACTTAAAACCAGCAGGAGCACAACTCAAAAGCGTAACGGTACCGCGATTTAAGATTTTCCTGAATAATTCTTACATTATTTTATTGTTTGTTAATTTTATAACTTTACCATATTTTACATGCACTGGCGAACATTTGGTGAAAATTTGATGAAAATCGGACTGATTTTGAGCGCGCAGTAGCGATTTTCCACAAAACGCCAAAAAGGTCGTTCAAATAATGTATATTTAGGCCATAGTGACAGTGGTCCAAACATTCGTAAGTTCCCCAGAGAGTGCACCGTGATCGGAATACCATGCGTGGTGTTAGTGCTTGCATTGAAAAAGACTATTCCGAGTCAGATTTTGAAAGCTATAAAGCTGAGAGTATTTCTTTCACTTGTAGATTCTTGAAGAAAACATCGGTTATTTAGTTGGTGATAGTTTGCTGGCTGCTGCTTTCCTCTCATATGCTGGACCATTTCTCTCCAACTACAGAGATGAACTCGTTATGCAAAACTGGATCGCTCAGGTAATTCAAATTCATCCGGACTGCAGAGTAATGTGATGACTAATATTCTAAAAGGTTTAAACTAACAAAAAATTCTAATCATTGATATTCAGGTCCGGGAGCTGAAAGTAGCATGTACGCCAAAGTTCTCTTTTGCTGAATTTTTAGCCAAGCCAACAACTGTTCGTCAGTGGAATATTCAGGTACGTATAACACTGGGTTTTATATTGTATGAAGTGAACAAGTTTATACTATGTAGATCTTTTTCCTAGGGTTTACCTTCAGATCAGTTCTCAACAGAAAATGGTGTTATTGTTACACGTGGAAACAGGTATGCACTGTTTTTTTAACAAATAGACAACATTTTCCTGTGTCTACCAGGGCTCGACGTTTATCGCGGCAATTGCCGTAGAGGGAGAACAAAATGCCGTAGATCATTGTGGCAACGACGGCAATTTTTTGCCGTATAGTGCAATTTTTATACTATTCACTGTGCATTACTATTTTGAATTTTTGATACTTGAATTCAGATGTTGACCAAATAATGCGTTTTAGTCTCATGTTTCTAGCTTGTCAAAAACCAAAGTAACAATAAAATTAAAGTTTTTTACAGTAATTTGAAAAATGCCGTGGAAAATGCCAAAATTGCCGTAGACAGCTGTTACGTTTTACGGCAATTTTTAGCACCATTGCCGTCGATTGATTTCAGGGAAATTCGAGGCCTGGTGTCTACTTAAGGACATGTTACACAAGGTAATTTTTGCTGCAACTTGCATGCAACGCAATTTCTGACATAGAACATGTTATCTAAAAACAATAGTCGCAGGAAAATTGTGAACATGGCTCATGTATCTAAATGTTTTGGGACTTTGAAGTGCGACGAAGTTGCAGTTATGATAATGTATGTAGTAATACAACATTTGCATGCTGTTTGTGTTGACAAAGCTTGCTGGTATTGTCAGTTTTTATTGTCAGTTTTTGTTTTTTAATAAGTATTTCTTTTACAGGTGGCCACTCATGGTTGATCCACAAGGACAAGCGATAAAATGGATAAAAAACATGGAAAATACAAATGTGAGCAAGAATGTTAATATATACTGCCAATTTAGTAAATTAGCTACTAAAGATAGGTCGACAGAGTAAACCAGTGGTGTAACTTTACTTTTTTGACCACTTGCCCTCAGGGCAAGTTGGACATGAAAATTAGTTGCCCTGAATAATATTCACTTGCCATCAGACAATAGCCATTGGGGGTACCTAGGTAGGAGGTATAAATTAAGGAGACAACATGTCGACCCGTTCTCCCACTGCTCTATATACTCTATGTTATACCCTGCCGCAGATCTAGCTTTTGCCCACAAAAAAAAAATTGAATCAAGTACATGCACTATAAAAAAATTATCCGACAATGAAAACATAAACTTAAAGATGCCCAGCATTTTGTAGCAAGGCAAGTTGCCCAATCGGGCAAGCAAGATAAAACGTTTATTTGGACGTCATGATATTCTGCCCTGGGCAAGCGAGCAAATGTTAAGTTACACCTCTGTAAACCAAAAGTAAACTTGTAAACAACATGTAAAATTAGTCCAATACACTGCATTCTGATCTAGTAAAATTTATTTAAACTCGAAATTTTAAATCTGATGCATGTATAAATGTGAATATCCTTTGTATGCATAATAAGTCACCTCACCTCGTATTTTTGTAGGGTCTGAAAATAATTGACTTGCAGCAATCAGATTATTTGAGAACTTTGGAAAATGCAGTTCAATTTGGTTCACCTGTATTGCTTCAAAATGTCCAGGTAACTGCAATTCGTGCAAAATATTTAATGTAATAATCCTGATGCTTAAGATCATTACTATAAGGGTTAATATCAGCCACCGCCCCTTCTCAAATAAATCGAATTTGTCTGAGGATGGATTTCAGAAGTGGATGCACAAAGGCCTAGAATCAAAGGGAATCCACCCCCATAGGGATTTTGCTGTAGATAGAAATGGTAAACTAAATATATTAGTATATATTGGATTGATGTTGGCACAACCTCTTGACAGCCGGGAACATATTTTGAAGATAACACTATTGACCAACAAAGTTAAGAACTCCCCAGGATACAAATATTTCTATAACCTCTTCATAACCTCTGCTATTAGCGTTAGGAAGCGTTGCGAGAAGTATAGTGCTTTTATCCAACTTTTCACAATCTTAGCAAGTTCGTGTATGATCTAAACATCTGAAATGTATTTTAGCAAATGTATGGTACTGTTCTTTACTGTCATAACGTCACTTACTTTATATTCCTTACTTACTTTATGCTTTTATAGGAGGAACTTGATCCCTCGCTTGCACCAATTCTCAACAAGTCCTTCATAAAAAGAGGTAAGAATGAGTAGAAGTTATCATGAAATTATTTTCTTTCACCATGGTAGTGATGGTACACATCAGATAAACGTGGTTGCATTTTCGTCTTTAAATATATGAACATATGTAATGTTTCAAATCCGAAAATAAGAACTGAACGGGATTTCAGGTTCTTGCAGTTAGCTCCAACAGCTGGAACAAACAACTCGAACTTGGGGTTTGAAATGCCATCAATCATACTCATAAATCATTACTTAAAGTGAGATTAATCAATTTTGATTCACTTTTGTGTTCTCTTGTATCCACTAACTTCGTGAGCAGAATAAAACAAAATTGTTAATTGGCTAATTTATATCCTGATGCATTATTAATGAATTTGAGATTGCGTAAATTTCAGGGGGAGGGAGTTCGTCTATGGGGAATGTGCATGCTGCTCATTTGTGAGGATGGAGTGCTCCCATAGGTCACCCTCATCCCATAGACTCACAAATCGATGTACCATACATTAAAAATGTTAGATTGAAGTATATCATGCCCAACATGGGGACCCAGACCCCCTGAGGGCATTAATTGCATTAGAGTC